TACCCAATCTGAGCAGTAAATTGTTTAGGCCATTTACATGATACAATTACTGATCTTTAGAGTTATAGTCCACCTTACTTGGGGTTTTCTGTTTGTCTTACTGTTCTAGGTTTCTCCTTTCCTTCTATCATATTGGTTATTTTTTTTAACATTTCATTTTTCTCCATACTAGTTTAGAAGTTATACTTCATTCCTAATCTTTACATGGTTACCTAGAAATTTTAAATTGAATACCTTTATACCTCCTTTCAAATAATAGAAGTACATTAGTATGCTTTAGCTGTATTCAACCCTGCTGATTTATGTATTACTCTTTCCATGTATTTTATCTTTTTTAAATAATGCCATAATATATTATTGTTTACTTTAGTCAGTGTCTATTTAACTTTACCAACATGTTTATCATTCTTCCTCGCATCTTAGACCTTCTAATGGGATCACTTTCCTTTTCCCGAAGTACTTTCTTTTAGAGCAGAGGTGCTCAGAGTGGTGCATAGGCCCTCAGAATATACAGCTTTTGAATGGTTTATGTGGTGAAGTGGACAGTGATGAAATAGGAAATGCTCATAAAACACTTTCCCTCCATACTAAAATGTGATAGTTGTCTTGAGTATTTAAGTTGCAAACTCAGCTCGCATCTTTTTTCAAGATACCATTTTTACTTGAAAGAGCAACTGACAGACAATGGCTATTCAGACTTGGATACCTGGCCAACATTTCCTCCAAAATGAACAAAGGAAGACTGTTATTTCATGGAAAATACCAGGATTATGTGTAATAAATGATAAAATAGCAGCTTTTAAGTAAAAATTAGAGTCTAGAGTCTTGGAAAACATATTAAAATTTGACAGCTACTCGGTGCTCCAAGGCATTTTTGACGAGATGATGATAACACCAACAAGTGTGATATTTTAATATTGTATAATGAAATTGTGGGTAAAATAACTTTTCAAAGTGCTTAGCAGTTCAATGAGTTTTAATGTAACACAATATGAAAAGCTTACCAATATGATTTCAGGTTTCACATAGCAACTACCTTAAGAAACTATCACTCATTGTATTTTGGTGCAGTATGGAAAATTTTACACAATTATCTATAAAGGCCTTTAACATGCTCCTCCCCTCTCCAGTTACATTAAGGAGATTTGCAAAACTATGAAGCTAGTGCTAGTCTTCTCCGAAAATTGTTTTTAAAAAAATGCTATTAATATGTAATGAGTTTCTTATTCTTACTTTTAAATGATTTAGTAACTACTTATTTTTTAAAAATCTCAGTTTTGGTTTTTAATATGGCAAATAAGGGACGCCTGGGTGGCTCAGCGGTTGAGCATCTGCCTTCAGCCCAGGGCATGGTCCTGGAGTCCTGGGATTGAGTCCCACATTGGGCTCCCTGCATGGAGCCTGCTTCTCCCTCTGCCTGTGTCTCTGCCCCTCTCTCTCTCTCTCGTGCGCGTGCACACGCAAATAAATAAAATTTTAAATAATAATAATAATATGGCAAATACTGACAGATGCGCTACACGTAAGCAATAGTTCCTTAGGTTTTTCAGTCATTTTAAGAATGTGAAGTGGTCGCTAAGACTTTCAAAACATTTGAGAATCACTCCTTTAGAATTTCTTTTAGTAAGGATCCACTGTTGGCAAGGCCTTAGATTTTCCTTGCCTGAAGATGTCTTTTATTTGATCCTTATTTTGGGAGTTTACAAAGACAAAATGCAGGTTTCCTCAGCACAGGGAAGATGGGATTCCACTGTTCTTCCAGTTGCATTGTTGCTGTGGAGAAGTCAGCTGTCATCTGTTTCTTTGAAAGTAGTATTCTTCTTCCCCTATGACCATTCCTCAGACTTTCCTCTTTGTGATATTTTATAGTTTCACTCTGATGTGTCTAGGTGCAGATTTCCCTTTCTTTTTTTTTTTAAGATTTTATTTATTCACGACAGAATCAGAGAGAGACAGAGACCTAGGCAGGAGGAGAAGCAGGCTCCATGCAGGGAGCCCGATGTGGGACTAGATCTCGGGACCCCAGGATCACACCCTGGACCGAAGGCTTGTACTAAACTGCTGAGCCACCCAGGCGTCCCAAGATTTTCCTTTCTCTATCTTGACTGGGACTCTGGGCTTCACCAAGTCTATGGATTGGTATCTGCCATCCATTCCATAAAAGTCCCCAGATATTCTTATTAAAATTTTGTCTCTGCCCCATTCTTTCTTTAGAATTATGATTAAATGTATAGTAATTATTAAACATGCAGCAATTTATCATATTCTCTCCTTGCCCCTCCAAGCTACATTCTACATGATTTCTTCTATCTTCTTACTGAGTTTATAGTTCTCTCATTCTGCTGAGAGTAAATTTGTCGCTTTATTTTTCATTTCTAAGTTCATTTCTTTTCAAATCTGCTAATCAATCTTTATAACTTTATATTACCTGCAGGTAATGTCACACTTTGCCTTTTATTTATTTTTAATGTTGTAGGCAGAGTTGTTGTAGCTGATAATTCTACTGTGTGGTCTCTAAAGGTCTCTTTATTCTATCTGTTAGCTTCTTGTTCTCCCTGATGCTATCTTGCCTTCTCTTACATTTGGTTTTCTTTGATTGTGTGCTGCTTTTTTTTCCTTAATAATTATCTGTATTGATAATAGAAGGCTTAGATTTTAAGTTACTTCTTCTCAAGATGATTAGTGCTGGGTACCTAGGCACATTATAAGTCCAGAGCACTTTAAATACAGTGTCCCAGACCAGCAGAGCTAAGAATTCACAAGGCTCTGACTCATTCTTACTTAATCAGTGTAGCCGGTTGGGAGTTTTTAATGTGGGATGGGAGTTCTATTAGACTTTCCACTTTGGCAGGCCTAGGCTTTGAAACCTGTCCTCTTTATCAAAGCCAAAGATCAGATTTGCGGTATGCACACTCGCCCTCGGGGCAAAACATCTGTGTTCTACTTATTTCTCTGGGTTCCTGCTTTTCCTTTAGTTTTGGTTCCAGCACCTATATTTCAACCCATTATGGGAAATTGCCTCCAAAAATAGTGTGTAACATTTTAGTGTAACTATAAACATAAGGAGTGCTTGCACTATGGATATAAATATGCCCATAGTCAAGTCTTTGAACTCTCCCCCTATAAGTAAGGCAAAACGCATTCAGTGAGCAGTGAGAGAGATGGTATGGTGTAGTTGTTAGGACCAGAGGTTGTTAGAGTTGTTAGGACCATCTTGCTTACATCACGTAACTTTTAAAGTAATTTAATGTTTTATAAACTTCTAATGAGAGTAGCAAAGAATTAGTGCTTTTTAGTGGAGGTGCTTTCTAAACTAAGACTTTAAGAAGGTGGAAAGATACAGTCTGATAATGGTGATGTCAGGGATTGTCATGAGCAGCAGCCATCAATATAATGCTGGTGTTCACACTTCATATTTAATGGTGTTTGGCATGTTTCTCTATATCCAGGTACTCACTGTAACCCTCAGAGGCTGCTGTCTATATTCACACTTTGTTGATCAGCAAGCAGGACTTGGAAAGTTTAGTGCAGGATGGTAGAAAGAGGAGATAAGTTGGTGCAGTCACTTTAGGAACAGCTTGGGATTCCTGATAGAGATGAGAATGTGCATGCCCTGTGACCCAGCAACTTTATTCCTGGGAAGATAGCCTGGGGAAATTCTTCACCATGTTTCCAAGTTAACATAAAACAGTTACAAAGTAGCATATTTTACCTTCAGTAGGGCGGTGGGCACAAACCCTTGGACTTACTCATACCACAGAATACTATATAACAATTAAGATTAATAATATAGATCTATATATTATATAGATCTATATTTATATATCACCACGGATAAATCAAGAGACCTAAAACTAAGTAGACAGTCGGTAGACAAGTAAGTTCTGGAAATCTAATGCAGAGAGCAAGGAGACTATAGTCAACATTACTATATTATAAACTTCTAAGTTACTAAGAGATTAGACCTTAAATGTTCTCAACACAAAAAAGAAATAATTGTGTAACATGGTAAAGGTATTCGCTGACCCTATTATAATAATCATATTATTACTATAATAATCATTGCCATGTATCAATCGAACACATTGTACACCTCAAACTTACACAAGGTTATATGTCAACTATATCTCAATAAAAGAAAATGAAGGAAAGCTAATTGCAAAGGATAAATATAGTGCAACATTGTTTATATAGTTGGAAAACATAAAACGGTATATATTGTTTGTGGGTCTCTACAAACAGAAATACAGAACATACTTGGCAGCTTGAGGACAGTGGTTACTTGGGGAAGAGGTAGGGTGATCAGGAGGGAATGTGGCAAAGGGCTTATGTCTGTGTATCTCCATTTCCTGAACTATCTGTGATACTGTTTTCTTTCTGCTCAAAATTATGTATAACTTTTTTCTTTCAAATAAGGAATTTTTTTAAAAAAACATGAAGAAAGAATTTGGAATCGAATAGACCTTGGTCCAAAATCTGCCACCCATGTACCCCTATTCCTCTCTCTAATCCTGTTTCCTCATCGATGAAATGGGATCACGGTAACTTCTTTGAAGCTGTTGTGAAGACTGGGTGAGGTGATATGTGTAAAGTGCCCAGGATTATACCTGCCTTGGTGCTCAGGCCCAGTATTTCGAAGTGGTTTCCACAGTCTCATGGGACTAGCATGGGGCAGACCTGGGGTTTGAGCTCAGGTCTGCCCTGTGTGAGTCCCAAGGATGCACACTCCGGAGACCTGCCAGCTGAAAACAGTAGGAAGGGAGCCGTGGCTACTCTTGCCTCCCAGGGGAGCGTCCCTCACCACTGCTACTCACCCTTCTCCCCAGGCCTGACTCTGACCAAGCTAAGAGGGGAACAGGGGCCTCTGTGGCTGTCCCCGGCTGCTTGCTTAGAAGAGTATTTTGCTCCTAGAAGAAGAAAGTTCTTCTGTAATAATGTTTAAAATGCCTGATTTGACTGTACCATCTGTTGTGACTTCTCCCTTTCTCTCTTGTTGACAGTGTCATCAGCAAAGTGGTCCCAGCCCCTGAAGCTAAACCAGCCCCTTCTCTGAGTAGACCCAAGACCCCGCCGCCTGCAGCAGCCCCTACCCCTGTCCCTATGCACATCGCCCCTGCCCCGGTGCCTTCACCACTCCTCACGCAGTCTGCCACGGCCCCAGCTTTGATGCCGGCCCCATCCCCAGCCATCTCTGGAGCCGGAACCTCCAAAGCCCCGGTCCGAAGTGTGGTCACGGAGACCGTCAGCACTTACGTGGTATGCTGCCTTTTATTTCTGTCGTAGCTAAGGAGGAGGCACCTCCGAGCTTGCTCTTCCACCGTGAAAATGTTTTCAGTTACAAAGCGGTGTCTTATGTGTCACTACCGAATTTCAGAGGCAATTCTTTATGACCAGAAAGGTATTTCCACTGCATTTTCAAGCTTAGGGCTGTAAAGTATTGTATTAAGGTATTTGCATATTTAGTCTCCATAAATAATCAAATCATTGTCAATCATATGTCAAATCAATATCACAGCATTGTTTTTCTTTAGTTTGTATTGTTTTATATGTATATGCAACAATGACAACGTATAAATATAGGGATGAATAGTGATATTCAAATCCCACATTGAATTTCTCGTTCAACCAATTATTCACTTAAGAGTATAAGTTACGGGGATCCCTGGGTGGCGCAGCGGTTTGGCACCTGCCTTTGGCCCAGGGCACGATCCTGGAGACCTGGGATCGAGTCCCACATCGGGCTCCTGGTGCATGGAGCCTGCTTCTCCCTCTGCCTGTGTCTCTGCCTCTCTCTCTCTCTCTGTGTGACTATCATAAATAAATAAAAATTTTTTAAAAAAAGAGTATAAGTTACATAATGTACACAGATCATATGGGCCAGATGCTGTTTCTAGGTAACAGTGCTAATTTATAGTATTTCACTGGTGAAGGTCTAGGATACTCTAGACCTTCAGGGCCTTCATGTTAAGGAAATGAACTTTCAAACCACAGGGCTTCTTAAGTATCTAAGCATGTCTTCAGATGGTAAAACTCAGCTTATTAATGAGTTCACATTGTTGTCATGGGACTGTTTTCAGGTATTTTCCCCATACTTAATATATCAGGTCTTACTCAAGCCCTAAAGTCAGGCTAGTAATGAAGTGTGTTTATAAATGCATCCTTTGGACAAGTGTGGAATGACATACGTATATACAACACAAAGATTTTAGGCGCACAGAGGCACTCCATGTACTGATACTGCTGTGCCACCAAATATGTAGACTGTGACCTGTCAGCCTCCTGATGCACAGATCAGTCTGACTAGATAGGATTGGGAAGTAGGACTCTGACAGTTATTATAAATCAGATAAATATTTTCTCTTTTAGGCAATTTCAATAGAAATTTCAATTTTTTTTTAAATTTATTTTATGATAGTCACAGAGAAAGAGAGAGAGAGGCAGAGACACAGGCAGAGGGAGAAGCAGGCTCCATGCACCGAGAGCCCGACGTAGGATTCGATCCCGGGTCTCCAGAATCGCGCCCTGGGCCAAAGGCAGGCGCTAAACCGCTGCGCCACCCAGGGATCCCTGTCCTGGGTGTTTAAATTGAGGTCACATCACCCCTTGATTTCATATATAACTTCTTCTACCTCCGTTGCTTCATCTGTAATTAGACTGGATGATCGATACAACGTGTTCTATCCTTCCGATTCTCCAGAGGACTTTAGGGCTAACTCCCTGGTGATGGATCCAATTGGCATAGGCAACATGGATGGAATGCCTTGTATCTCCTCAGAAACACTTTGTAGACAGAGAACAAAATGTGTGTTTTGGGCTATTGAGCAACATAGGCTATTGAGCAAAAAGGCTGATTTTGTCACTGCCTGATAGTGGGACTTTATAATGACCACTGTAGTGTCGCTCACGTTCCCCCAGCTCCAGCTTCCCCATTCTTCACGTATCCAAGGGTTGTTTCAGGATGAGTAAACAAAGTCAGATGTTTGAAGAGCTCAGTACACTGGTTAGATGTTAGTTATTAAGGATGCTATGGCCAATTTCTCTTGTAGCAACAGAGTTATGGCCTTCTCATTTCAAGAGAGGTCAACCAGCAGCAGGGCTGGCCATGCGTGGCCGCTGCAGGGCATAGGACGCTGGACCAGTCTTAACCCTAGACAGCTGGCACCAGAGAACTGGTGGTTCTCTGCCCTGAGAAGCAGAGGGTGAAACCAGACACGTAGCTGCCCATAGGCTTCTTCAGGAAGCTTTCAGATCAGTGTAGCTTGCCTTTGGTAGAGACCCTTCCAAAAATGGTCAGCCTTAAAATAGCACATCAGTGGAATGAAGCATCTGTGTCCCCAGTATACCCACCACACTCAAAGAGAGCCCTTCTTTTCTGAATATCTAGTCAGTGTTGTATCCGAAAGGCTAGGAACCAACTATACTTTGCAAAACAAACTGAATGAGACCATTTGCCGTGTGACTGTAAAAACTTTTGAAAATCAGGGATCCCTGGGTGGCGCAGCGGTTTAGCGCCTGCCTTTGGCCCAGGGCGCGATTCTGGAGACCCGGGATCGAATCCCACATCAGGCTCCCAGTGCATGGAGCCTGCTTCTCCCTCTGCCTATGTCTCTGCCTCTCTCTCTCTCTCTCTCTCTATCATAAATTAATTAATTAATTAATTAATTAATTAATTTAAAAAAAAAACTTTTGAAAATCAGCTTGTAGTCATTACTGTGTTCAGGAGGCCCGTCCTAGATTTGCTTCTTCCAAATTGGTTTTGTTAATGTGGAATTTGAGGAAGCGACTAACGGATGCTTCTTATTTGGAACTGCGAGGTTAGGGAAAGCAAACGCCAGAGCTCACCACATTCATAACAAAATGATGTTAAAATGTGTACCTCGTTGGCCTCCTGCGCCCCTTATTCTATTTGCCCTTTAGTTGATTGTGCCTTACTGAAAATGTCATAAAGGGAATGGAAAGTTACTTAGTAACAGCTCTTTTATATCCTTGATCTTATCAGCTAGTTCAGGAGAAGGGCTTGGCTAATAAGTAATAAGGTGATACATGCACATTGGGCTGCATGTATTAATTCCATGCCTGTGAATGTGACTGAGAAAGCTGCATACGATCGAGGTTTGTAGCTTTCAGAAATATCCACCGTCACTGCCACGATGACCGTGATTAGCACCGACTTACATGTCTGTAGTAGCTTTTAGATCAAAGTGGCTACAGGTCATACAGTGCATAGAACTGGTGATAAAATGCTTTGTTTTTATGACTTACAAAAGAGAGTATAAAATACTTATTAGAAGTGTCTTCTCACTGAGTACGTAGTAGCTCTCTCTTCTTCATGTGACCGGGGTAGGGATGATCGCGATCATGGCTTCAGTGAATTGTTAAACCGCTTGCTTGTTTATGAGGCTCACAGGATAAAGCGCTAATCATTCTTACCCTGCCCTCTTTTTGGTTCTTTTTTCGCACTCCGTCTCTCTTTGTCCCCCTTTTCCCATCCTCCCATTTAAAAATCCTCAGATCCGAGATGAATGGGGGAATCAGATCTGGATCTGTCCTGGATGCAACAAGCCCGACGACGGGAGTCCCATGATCGGCTGTGACGACTGTGACGACTGGTATCACTGGTGAGCGCTGTGGGCCGGGCCAGGCTGGCTGCAAGGGGGGCTCCTCAGGGCACAGCGGTGACCACGATCCATCCTGGACACTCTCTCCGTTCCACTACCATCCTAGGGCAGTGCAGGGAGCAAAATCACAGTAAGAATAACATGTAATTACTATTAATTGTAAAAATCGACAATCTTTGAAGTGTTGTTCTTCAACCTAAATTCCAAATATTTTGCCTAGCCTATATATCCTTCTTATTAAAAAAAAAAAAAAAATGGAAGGGCACCTGCGTGGCTCAGTCAGTTGAGCATCTGTCTTGGGCTCAGGTCACAATCTCAGGTCCTGGGGTTGAGTCTCATCCAGCTCCCTGCTCAGTGGGGAATCTGCTTTTCCCTCTACCTTACCTCCATTTGTGCTCTCTCTCATTCTCTCTCAAATGAATAAAATCTTTAAAGGAAAAAAAAAAGGAGATAAGGGGTTTCCCTTTCCTTTTTTTCCAGTAATATTCTGTAAGCCTCAGCACTTGACAGTAGCCTTGAGGGATGCCCTTGGTAAGCAAGTCACAAGGTGCAGGAAGACATGGCTTGTCTGCCTGTCCGACCTCTCCAACAGCGCCCCCAAACTAAGGAAACACTGCCAGAATGTATGTGAATAATCTCCTCATTTTACAGTTTAAAAATAAGATATAAAAAGATAGAAATCCACTCAGCCACGTGATATAGGATGTACCTATAAGATAAAAGAAGAACCAGCCTGCTTCTGTCTAAAAAGGGGAATGATAGCTAATTCCTGCATCATGGTGGCAGGAAGGGCCACCCGGTCACAGTCACCCCCCTGCCCAGCCACCACACCTCCCAAGTTGGAGCTGTTCAGCCTGGACCCTGCTAGACATGCTCCAGACCTAAAGATGATCTAATTATTTAAAATTATACACACAGGGAAGGAATATGTCCATAAATAAAGCTTCTTCATCCAAAATCTTGTTTGTTCCCTACCCATGTAGGCCATGTGTCGGAATAATGGCTGCACCACCAGAAGAGATGCAGTGGTTCTGCCCCAAGTGTGCCAACAAGAAGAAGGACAAAAAGCACAAAAAGCGAAAGCACCGGGCCCACTGACACGTCCCGCGGCGTGGCCTCAGAGGGGAGTTGGTGCAGGTCTGGCGGCCCGTCCACCGCCCAGTTCCCTGCGGAGAGCAAACCTCGGGTGACTGGGGACAAGAACGCTGCGGCCACCCTGGATTGTGCCCCGGGACCACCCGGCAGTGTGACTGCAGAGAGACTCGAGTCAAGGCGTGGCCCAGGACCGCCACGCCCCACTTTTCTATTACCATTGACAAGTATTATTAATAAAAAGACCGTAATCTTCCCTTCTGATTTTCTTTATTCTCTCCAGGGCCTTTTCGTTAAGGTATTAGATGAGAAGATATGTGTCAGCTGCCTCGACTGTAACTCCTGGACGTCAATAGTCTGTACAGTTTGCCACCTCTTCCCCTCTCTAGTAAGATAATCATAACGACAGAAGAGAACACTCCACTTGGAGTGCCGGTAAATATTTTTGTGATGAAAATATATGAAGCTTCCCTGCCCCCGCCCCCCATTTTTAGTACTAACATGTAAAATGTTCAGGCCTTTGTGAAATACCTTCTATTTTTTAAGAAAAAGGTTTCTATCATGTCCTGTTTGCTTTTTGCGCAGATTATTTTTGTTGACTCGCACGTGTTTTCTACGTTCGTGGCCATCGTCCCCATGCCCTTCTCTAAACTGCTGGCGTTCTCACTTGCTTCTACATTTCATCGACTTGTACAAAAACTCTCCTGACTAGCAGATCTCCCCCCTAATGTAAATAATAAATATTTATGAAGTAGTTATTTTTTAAATTTTTATCGTGTTTAATTCTGGCTTTCTCTGAAATCCATGGTGATTTCAGCCATGTCTGTAATTACTGCTGTACATAAGCGAAGAAGGCTAGAAACAGAGCCATAGTTCCAAGTAATCTACCTTTAGCTGAACCCGCCCGGTGCCCCGGTCGCTGTGGGGAGGAGGGCCCTAGCAGTTGGAAGGAAAACAAGGCAATTTAAATCCATTCTTTATTATTTGAAATTGTTTTGTTATCTCTAAGTTTCTTTGACTTTTATGAAACGGACATGTAGATTCCCCGAAAGTTAAAAAAAAAAAAAAACTACAAAAAAACAGGAAACGAAAAAACATAGACTGTAGCATTTTGTGTTTATATTGTTTTATTTCTGCAAATCTGTTCATTGAGATTGTGGTTTAAAAGGCTGAAATGAAGTATATTATGATTTTTTTTTTAAAGAAAACTCATCAAATTTCAGGGTATCACAAAACTTTATTATATTACTATACTGCCCACTATTTATTATATGTTATAGATGTCTGAGAGATAAACCAAATATTTTATTTTTAATGTAAAACATCAAATTTAACTTTATTAGCATATTTTAGCAACTTTGGAATAAATATGGACTTTTACTTGATTTTGAAATAATCCCAATTTGGGCCAGTATAATGGATATCTTGAATGCTACAATATGGGCTTTGAACCTAAAACAAATATATTAATAGAAATTGTGAATTTTTTTAACGCCAAGTAAATTGATATTAGCGTGTGAATTAGTCATATTTTAAGACTTATTATGTGGTCAGAGAAATGAAGTTTTCTGCCATGAATGTTAAATTGCAAATCAGTGGAAATGGAGCCAACCTTTTAAGAGTGCAGTATTTCACTGCCCTCCTTGTTCTAGAAGCCAAAATGTTTCTATCCCTACAAAGAAACGAAACATCTATGTCGAGCTATGTGTGGGGTTTTTTGTTTGTTTGTTTTATTAATTTGAGATCATCCTAAATACTTTATACAGTATTTTCACATGCACAGATATACCCATTAGTGCTTTTTGGAGAGGGATGGGGGTGGGGAAGTACAAAATAAAGATTATTGGCTATTTCATAGTTTGCTTTTCCATTTTCTTTATTCAGGACTTAGTTCCTTGAGGCATGGTCAGTGGATCTAAAGTTGCCACGTTTAAGTGAGCCGGTCACACTTCTGAAATAAGAATGGAGGTGCCTCTATATGACTTTCCCCCCAGTCCTACTGTCGAGAGACTTCAGCCCATAATACATTGAAGGAATTTCAATCAGTTGTTGTCCCTTGCTATTTCATGGTTGCTTTCCTAAATCCAGTTCATGATTTTATAAATGGCCTTTGCAATAATAAAACCAAAGAATCATTTTCAGGGGGCTGGATAGCTCAAGGGATTAGTAATGGAATACAGAGCCTTTCACCTCTAGGTCAGTGAGGTGAATCCAGTCCAGGTCACTGGAGACCCAAAGCGGCTACCATCTTCCGACCGCTCAGCGGCCTGTGTGCACCGGCCTGGCGGTGTCAGCCTCTCTGCCCGACGGCTGTCCTTGCACCAGCCAAAGGAAGCTTGAGAAACTGCACAAAGAAACGTGGACCGGAAGATACAACACCTGTGTCACAGAGCAAAGTGAGCAAGTTGGCCAGAGCCGTTCTCCATAAAGTCACGTGGAGAACAACAGGTCTGTAACTTAGAAAAAGATTGTAGAGAGAGTGGACACGATTCGCTTTGCTTCGTGCAGTCGAACAAAGTCGGCCAAGGGAAGGCCTGTCCCGGATGGGAGGGGAAAGATGATGTAATCCAGAGCAAGGCTTTAGGGGACTCAAGAACCCATAAGAAGAAAGTGGGTTTTGACTTTTGACGGAGGAAACATCAGAGCGAGCGGCAGCGACGTGAGGGGGCCCCGGGCCCAGCCCTGGACACCAAGGGACAGACAGACAGGACCTGGCCTTGGCAGCGGTGTCCACCAGCCTGGCTGTCCCCATCCGAATCGCCACTGCCACCTGCTCTGGGCAGACCACACTCTATGAAGGGGGCAGCAGGAGGACACATGCACATACAGCACCCTGGCTGGTGATTTCATCGGAGGAGGCAGTGTTTTAAAAGGAGAGCAACACTCTCACGCCCGGAAAACAAACTTCTGATGGGATCATCTGCACGCACAGCCCTACGAGGCCGGCAAAGCGGGCTTTCTGTGCGTGGCCAACCTGGGTCTCTCTTCTGAGCATGTCTGCAGCAAAGTACAGTGAGGTTCTTTATCCTCCAACTGGTTTATGGTTCCAAACGTCCCGAAGAAAATCAGAGGGTATCAGAGCATTCCGGCTTTGTCGGGCTCCTTCTCAGAGATAAAATATAGTGCCTCTCTCCACTGTGTCACCTAAACCGGCTTTGTTCCCTTTTCAATAGGATGGTTAAACAAAGGCCTACTAACCAAATTAAAGTCTAAACTGAACACTGAGATATGGAAACGTCGCCAGTAAGAATGCTAATGAACGAAGTCCACGAAAGAAAGGCGTGCTGGCTAAGTTTTCAATACAAACAGCCCAGTCGCCAATCTCTCTAGATCACAGCAGTTTTCTTTAGAAGGTTTAAGTCTAAAAGTAGATGAGTTCCCCTGACTGAAGAGCGAGACAGATAAAACTGTTCTGAATGAGGTCTCTCCGCAGCCGTATCAGCCGTTCCACGAGGGAAGGATTTCTTTGAGAATCTCGCATTAGTCGTAGCGAAAAAGTATAGAGTCACCATTAATCCACACGTGCAGGCCAAAGGATGAGGCTGGAAATTAGATCCTTAGATGGACAGCAGAGCAGTTCATGCTTCCTGTCATTTCAACGTTTGCTTGAGGTGTCCGTTACCAGAAGGACTGCAGTTAACTGCCTTTTCATCCTGGACAACCTGGTCAGTAGTTTCTTTTCTAGAACAGTTGCAAGCACTTGCATCTGTTGATTGAACATTTGCTGGGCACCCTTCACGCCAGATCGGCAAATGGAGGCTTAGAACTGAGCTGGGTGTTTCCCGGGCTCTGGCTTGCGAGGTGTGCGCGTCCTTCCTCGTTCTCTCCAGGCTGCTGCCACGATATAGTAGGTGCGGAAATGTATGTCATCGAATCCTGAGAACCTTCCTTGCTGCTCTTGGCGCCATTTCTCTATCATAACCTTTATCTACCCAAGACCACAGGCAGTTTTGATGTTAATATAGCTTTACATGTGGAAATGTTTGTGTTTACAACAAAAGATTTCAAAGCTTAGCAAGTGGTTACGTCATGGTAGGAACGACAGCCGAGCTGACATCCTATGAACACACTATACCCTCCCACGAGATGTGACTCTGTGAGGCTTTCAGAACAGAAGCAGCATCTTCTCGGTACTTTGTCCTAAACCATAATTTCCTACTGTATCCTGGCAACCCAGTCGGCGTCCTGGTAACCTTCTGAAGTTTTGTCGGGGTTTTGAGTTTGGTCTTAGTTTTGACTAACGGAACATTTAAAATGGGATTATCATAGGCAGAAAGTCATTGTCCTGTCCCTTAATGAGCCAACTCTAGCCAAGTTAGATGCTCTGAAGAAAACGTTTGTGCTGCTTCTAGTTAGCTCATTTAGACCCATAGAGGTTCTTACCAGAGGGAGTTTTCAAACAGTCCGAAAATATTATCAGGTCATATATTCTGATTATTTCTCCTATACTGCTTGGAATGTGGGTTAAGCTTCGTTTGCTAGCTTTTAGAAAGTGAATTCTCTGTAAGTGGACTTCTAAATAACCAGTTCCCCACCTTTCCTGTCCTCTGTTAATTTTGACATAGCTATTTGCAACATGCGCAAAAACAAATAATAAATAACAGGTCCAGGATGTCTTAGACTGAGCCATAATCCTCACACATCTCAAAAAAAAAAAAAAATCTTCGCCCATCATCTCTCTAGGCAGGCACGTGATGTGCCATGGGGGTGCAAAGGTGAAATGAGACGCGTCCCCGGGGCTGTAGAGAGCTGTCACTGGCAGTCGCGTTGGCAACATGTTCTGCACCTCAGAATGGATCCCCGCCGAAAGTTCACAGTAAGATGACCCTGCCCGCCCTCAACCAAGTCTGGACCCACCAAGGTGCATAGGCTGTTTTTGGCGAGCTTCACACATTAAACTGATGCTCTGCTTTGCACATCTTTTCAAATTGCATTTAGATTTTTAACTGACTCTAGGATGATAGCAGCCAAGAGAACATTTTTTTTTTTTTAAGTCAGAACCTGGATTCAAATCCTTGCTCTGTTGTTCTGTTCAAATTCAGCTGCTGAATAAACTTGAACAAGTCCCATCTCTAAGTCTCCGTCTCCTCCTCTGTAAAGGAGGAGTAAGAACACCTGCTTTGGACAGTCGTGACATTTAACGAAATCGTATGCCACTTTGCACGTTAAAAGCTCAATAAATGACAGCTATAGTGTCTATTGTGGCTTTATTTTTTAGCTTACTCCATTAATATGTATTATCTTGCTCTTTCAGTAATTTTTCGGTGCTGTACAAATTCTGGATTTTCTACGAGCCTAAGATTACGGGTTTCAACACCCCCACCAAAAGAGTGATCTTAATATAATCAAGGCTTGAAAAGTTGGACAAGGCAGTAACTAAGCAATTTTTTTTTGAAGATTTTATTCATTTATGTGACAGAGCACAAGCAAGGGTCAGCGGGAGAGGGAGAAGCAGACTCTGCACTGAGCAGAGAGCCCTGACGTGGGACTCGATCCCAGGACCTGAGATCATGACCTGAGCCAAAGGCAGATGCTTAACTGAGCCACTCAGGCGCCCAAAATCATTTGATTATTGGACATAGATGATCACTGGGAGAGAGAGGCTTCCTCCCAGCACCCCTTTTCTCCAGAATGGGCAAGTGCCACTTGATGTGGTGCCTGGACAGTAAACAGAGGCCTAGGCCCCGGTCGCAGACCCAAGTGCACCCATTAGCAGGACTGTAAAACCAATGTCAGTATGTCGCGCGACGCAGCTGACGTGGCCATG